ATCATGAAAGAGGCGATTAGAATGGTACTCGAATCCATTTACGATCCCGAGTTTCCAGACACATCGCACTTCCGCTCGGGTCGAGGCTGCCACTCGACCCTAAGACGGATCAAAGAAGAGTGGGGAACCTCTCGCTGGTTTTTGGAATTCGACATCAGGAAGTGTTTTCACACCATCGACCGACATCGACTCATCCCCATCTTTAAGGAAGAGATCGGCGACCCCAAGTTCTTTTACCCCATTTAGAAAGTATTTTCTGCCGGACGACTCGTAGGGGCGGAGAAGGGCCCTTACTCCGTCCCACACAGTGTATTACTATCGGCCCTACCAGACAACATCTACCTACACAAGCTCGATCAGGAGATAGGGAGGATCCAACAGAAGTACAAAATTCTGATTGTTCAGAGAATAAGATCGGTTCTATTAAGGACAGGTCGTATTGATGACCAAGAAGACTCTGTAGAAGAAGCAAGCTTCAACCCTCCCTAAGACAACAGAGCCATCATTGTGGGGAGGATAGACATATGTGGATTAGTACAATTATTGGCATATTCAGGATACCAAGAGAGACTGGGTCTGCCGATTGCTCTCATTAACGACCACAAAGGCATACATAGAAGGCAGATGAGAGAAAGCGCTCGATGAACGATGATTGAAGATTGCAGCATCTTTTTGATAAAGACAGCATTAGACCTGTACATTTTTGAAGCAGAATTCGGCGAGCAAAAAGAAGGTTGGGTGCTTGTGGGGCAAGGCCACCCGGCCTCGAATAAGATCGTAATACTCGGTATTTCCACTCTTTAGCCAGTGCAAGACGGAAGAGAAATAGGATAAAGCTTGATAATGGGGAATGGTCATATGATGCCAAGGAAATCATGGAGATGGGTACAAAGTGATTCGAGACTCTTTACACGGATGAAAGCGATCGGGATGTGCTCATCTCATGCATGATCTTTTCAGAGAACGGGTCGGGAGGACATTGCAAAAACGCCAGTGGAGGTCTGGTCTCAAAGTCTAGTCTTTCTTCTCCTATCATTGCCTTTGGGGAACGAGCAGGTGAAGAGCTTAGTGTAACGGTCCGGAGCGCAGCCTCTTACTAAGAGAACAGATGCCACGCAAACACAGAAAAAGGGCAAGCGGGTAAAGGAGTAGACTAGCCGGCAAAAGGAAAGAAAGTCGGAATAAGCGAAGGCAGGGAAGATTGAATCACTATCTCCGTGCAAGCAGACCTTCAAAGGACTTCGGCTAAGGTTTAGAAAATCAACTATTTATATATATATAGTTAAATTCTATACGAGTTGGAAACCAAAATCGGGCGAAGAACCCAAAAAGTCTCAAAAATCTAACAGTTCCGGCCTAAAGTGAGTGTACGGTCGCAAACCTGTGTATGGCCGCACACCCGTGTATGGCTGCACACCCATGTATGGCTGCACACACGTGTATGATTGGTGTCAGGTGGACCCCACCACCGACCATACCCCCAACCTATAAATACAGGACCCTCATCGTCATTTGAACACTCTTGACCGAAAACTCTCTCATTCTCTCTCTAGAACTTCTGACCGTACACACTAAAAACAGCCATTTTCTTCCGAAAACATCAAAAATCGTCATTTGGAACCGATTGGGAGCATCTGGAACACATATTCTTCGAAATCGAATAACCATGTTCTTGAGTGTACCACCGTACACCCTTCAAATCTGCAAAGGTCCGTACACACCTCAATGAAGAGTTCACGGCCGTACACCTTGTTTACACCCGTACACTACCTATTTAACTGTAAACCCCTGTTCATGGCCGTACACGCCTCTTAAGCAGTGAAAAGCTCGTTTTCTCGATTCAATCAATTCCCGGTAACATTCCTTAGCCGAAAACAAATGTTTTTCTAACACTTTATCTAATGAAATCACTAATTATATATATATATATATATATATATCTGTGTGTGTGTGTGTATTGATATTAGGATTCCGTTAAGTGCCACGTACAACAACTCAAAGATCTTCCAGTTCAACATTTACACACATCAAACAGTGAGTTCATACCCCTATACTCTTACGGTTTTTAAATGTTTTCAGGGGGGGGGGGATACAAGCCAAAAATAAATGATTTTGTGAACTTAAATAAAAGGGTTTTAAAATACTTAAAACCGATACAATATGGATTTCACATTTCATAAAACATTTAAATGTTTTATCCCTTTTGTATTGTGTTGAACATAAGGGATGTTTTCAATGTTTTATCCCTTTTGTATTGTGTTGAGCATAAGGGATGTTTTCAATTTACTGTCAAATTGCATAGTTTTCCGAATAAATTCACGATTCAAATACATAATATTCATGCAAACTATAATAGGTATAGTTTGGGGTTTCAATTCAAAGCTTGTACATTTCCTAATATATATAACTATGACAAACTTAGTTTATGTTATACTCGGGTAACAAAGATGCTTTATTTATTAATTATTTAAGTATAATTATTACTCTATAAAGTCTACACTCGGATTTGACTACCAAAGATTAATACAGAACTACTCGTAATTTAGATTATACATGATTGTGAGACTCTACTTTAATATTATACCCTTTGGCGTACTTAATTAAATCCTATCGTAGTATAACTAGAGTCTCCTAGAGGGAGAGCGTGAGATTTGTGAATATATCTATTCGGGACTGATAATCCCACACCTGAACTGCTAGCTACAGTTAGGAAGGCATGCCTGGGGTGACAAATGTCATTTAACCGACACTTGAAGAACGTCGTAAAGGTCACTAGGTCATATTAAGCAGGGTTATACGACTCATAATAGTATAAACTAAACTTTGTTTATGAGATTTCATTCTTCATTAGTTTTATTATAATTAATAGAACTATTATACACTACACTAGAGGATTCCAAGGAATAAAATACATGGTTTAAATTAAATAATAAAACTACAATACATTACTGGTGATAGCCAGGGTTTTCATACAAAAGATTTTCATGCAAAACAACATTTTTGAATTCAACAGGTGGTAACCAAGAATATGAATAAATACTTATGGAATAGTAACAAACACCTTTTGTAAGAAAATATAGGATTTTCTTAAGGAACCCTCTTACAGTTTTTAATGAATTAATTCAGTTAATTCTATAAGTACTTCGTGAATACAACATGGGTCACATACATAAGGATCTGATAGCTAGTGAAATGTGTGGTCTCCACCTCATTTCCTATTCCTTGTTTGGTTGTGGGCTTGGGGCATGACCATATAGTCGATTGATTGTTCGATTTGGATTATGTGTGACTTGTATACACTAAGTATTTGTAAAAGGAAACTAGTATGAATCATTTTTATTTATCATTCATCACATAAGAGAATATTGGATTTTCTGGAGAACTACATTATGTTTTAAGGAACCAAGAACTTGTTTTCTAAAACAAAACACTTATGAAGTCATCAAATTAATGTTGATACTCTTTTCAAAACCACTTGTATTCTCAGGGAATCAGTAGAAAGGTACTCCTGTAGCTTTTGAGAAGACGGAGCGCTTAGAGTCACGTCTCTTATATTTTGTTATATTTTTATGTACTCAACTATGAAAACAGATGTAAATACTTTTATGTAAGTATTCGATGTGATGTTGTGTTTACTTGCTTACTATGATGCAATTGTTGTGATACTACATATGACGTCATCCACCCCCGAACGTTTCCGCTATTTCGGTTTGGGGTGTGACAGAGTAGATTTGGATATTTGTGATAGAGAGGATATACAGTCAAAGAGTAGAAGGAATTGAATGGGATTTGACTATCTGTCCAAGTATTAGGAAGCTTATACAAGATTTGAAGGTTATATAGAGGTAACATGTAGTTTTACAATTCAACAAATGGTTTTTATTTGTTTTGTGTTATTCGTTATTAATTTGTAGTCATTATTACCTTATACAGATTGTGGGGAGTTACTCCTTATGGTTATCAAAAGTATGAAGTTAGGTTCAATGATGTAGCATATGGAGTGGATCTAATTGCAAAGACTTGTGCATGTAGAATATGGCAACTTACAGGGATACCATGCTTACATGGAGTAGCTGCAATCTCTTCCCTGAATCAAGATGCAGAAACATATGTGTCCCAATAATACAGTAAAGATGCTTATGTGATATGCTATAATTATAGCACTAACCCTCTCAATGGTAGTGATATGTGGCCAGAAGTTCCTTATCGAAAGCCTTTGCCTCCCAAAAGAAGAAGATTACGTAGCAGGCCATCAGTGAAGGAAAAGGGATGCAGTGGATAGAGAGTTGAGTGGACTAGTTAGACATTTTGTGACAAGAAGGAGATCCCTGATAAGGTGTAGTATTTGCAAGGAACCAAGCCATAACAAGAAAAAGTATCCATCTAAGCAGAAAACAAATACATCAGGTAAATGTCCCAATCATCTTAACATAATACGTGATGTTGATAAGTAATTGAGACTTTAATTTTTTTTGCAGCACCAAGTTCCTCTAGGGGTAGTGGAGCCGGACCAAGTCAACCACCACTAGTAGCAGCAGCCCAACCACCTCAACCACCACCACCACCACCACCAGCCCAACCACCTCTACCACCACTAAGTACAAGGCCTGTCCCAAGAAGGGGCCCAATTGGTAGAAGTGGACGGAGGCAATATTCTGTAAGGATTGTCAAAATGGAATTGAGGACGAACATACCTAGGGTTGGGAGCAGTGCAGAGAACCCTGCAGTCCTTGATTAAGATATTATGTAGGTAGTGGGTAGGCACATCTTTTGTTATAAAGTTGTGATGTAAAGACAAAGTACTATGTTTTATTTATGTTTATCTTTTGGGTATGTGGGCACATGGTGGCCATTTCTTTTGTGGTCCCTAGTGAGAATCTTTTGTTCTATCTTTTGTGTATGCAGACAACTAATTACCCTTTATTTAATTTCAAATGTTGATGGAGTATTTCAATGAATCCAACCATCATATTCAATTACTTTCTTGTTATTTCTATGCATTGTTGTCTTAGTGATTCCATTACAGTCAAAGAATGGAATCATATATTGTTAGCTTAGCTAATATGACAGTTAATCAATTTTAACTACCAAGGGTAGTTTTGTCATTTTTTACTTTCTAGTCTGTTAGAAGTTATTTAGACATATTGATGTGCAATGTTATTAATTGTACATATGTGTAATAGTTCAGTAGCTGTTCAGAAGAGAAATAAGAAAAAGTTAATTTTCAATCATCCTTTTCTCTCAAACCAATCTTTTGAACATGAACATATATGTATTCATTGTTATATGTATGCTACTTTTTAATTCCATTCCAGTGAAAATTACTACATTATGATTCCAGTCAAAATTACTTATTTCTGATTCCAGTCAAAAGCTTAGCTAATATGATAGTTAATCAATTTTAACTACTAAGGGTAGTTTCGTCATTTTCTACTTTCTAGTTTGTTACAAGTTGATTATATGTCTTGATGTGTAATGTTATTAATTGTACATATATGCCTTCATTCCAGTCAAAATTATGACTTTTTGATTCCATTCTAGTCATCAATTACTACTTTGTGATTCCATTCCAGTCAAAATTACTTCATTCCATTCCAACAAGAAGTTAAGATAATATCTTCATTCCATTCAAACAACATCTTTCAATACATCATTTCACATCATTTAATCATATACATGATGATCAAAAAAAGAAATACTATGGTAAACTTATATATTTTTTCCTTTATTGGAATGGCATCAAAGTACTTTTCCTTCATTTATTCTATGTCTTCCTTCACCTTCTCTACTTCGGTCTTCAATGCTACTAATTCAACTTTCATTCCCTCCACGACTTCCATTAGAGGCATTTGTACAGGTTCTACATCCAACCATTTCCAATATTTGCATTTACCATTCAACACAAATAACTCATAATGAGATCTCAAATTAGGAAAAAAGAATCAGAAAAGGAAGAAGATTCAAGTTAAATAACTTACCTAATTGCACACCATGAAATGCCTCCCTGGATTCTTTGGTGTTGTTGACGTTAGAATATGTGCAAGGAACCCACAATCACAAGTTTTTGGATCGTTCACTGTCGATTTCTTGCTTGATCGATTGAGGGATGATGAGAAGCTATAAGAGGAAGCCATCGGGGTATTAGGGCACAATAAAGGAACCACATACACCCCTCTTTTAATAACATTAGCCCTATATGCCACATAGGATCAAACTGACACGTAGGATTGACCAGTCCATTGAAACCGGCAAAAAGCAATCATAGGGGGAACATTTACATGAATCAACAAATTAAATGGCTATTAGAACACGAAAAAAAGTTTAGTGACAAAATGTGATCAAAAGCAATAGTATGTTACCCTATCAAGTCATTATCCCGTATTTCAAAGTAGTTTGTCTTTTATAATCACCGACCGACTCAAATCTACCAAAATAATTTTCAATTTACAAATCCCCCCATCATATTACTTATTTACTTCATTCAAACCCCCTCATCATCTTACTTATTTCATTTTCACCCCTTTTAATATGTAGGAATATCATTTCATTTAAATTATAATAACATACTAAAAATTGTATGTATAGAAAAAATTATAATAAAATGGCCCATACAGATTATATATAATAATCTTGGAAGCATGATGAATTATCATTTATCAAAATATTAAAGACTTCAACATAATATACCATATGACTTTCAACATAATATACGATATGTAGGAATATCATTTCATTTATATTATAATAACATCTAATATTTTTTTTGGTTCTTTTTCTAAAATATCATCAATTTTTTAAATAAAAAATAACCTTTTGTTCCAGAATGGGTCATTCCGGACTCGAAAACCGGTCCAAGCCCAATATTTTAGCCTAATAGTGTATATATATATATATATATATATATATATTATATATATATATATATATATATATATATATATATATATATATATATAAAATCCGGAATACGCATTTCGGAATTAGCATACCCGAAGCACCGTCTACCCACATTTCAAATCAAAATTCCAGCATAGATTCGTCAAACCAAGTAGGTTTTACACTTTAACTCACTTTGCATTTGATTTTCTTAAACAAATTACGTATTTCGGAATGGTCTGAAACATGAGGAACAACTCTAGAATATATATTTTTTTATCTTTTTGTTGTTGTACGTGTATGAATGTCATGTAAGTACTTTGTAATGTGATTTTGATTGGTTGTTTTAGTCCGGAATTAGGTATTGTAGGCGTTCCGGAATGGTAATGTAGGTCTGGAATACGATGAACGTTGTCTGAAACCTGATGATCTATTCCGGAATGATGATCTGGAATACTTATAATATACAATTTTTTTTCTAAGTGTTGTTTAATTACCCATGCTAGTCCAAAGACGAGTTAGCGTGAATGTTGACAAAAAAGTGGATTTTACGGACGACGAAGTTGTAATTTACAAAAGCTTTTGGAATTGCGCCCGATAAAGGTAAAATCGAAAAAAATTATAATTATAATTTTTTTTACGGTAATTTATTAAAATGCTGTGTGGTAACACCAACGCCGAGTGATTGAAAAATTGGTATTCTGCAGAAGGAACTAGGAATGCCACTTTTTTGGATCTTTATCCAAACAAAATTAATTAACTATCGACAAAAATTATATGGTTTATGGTCTAAATTTAAATGTTTCGTGTGTTTTTGGTCCCTAGTTTGAAAAGTCTATAATACCTTTTATATTTGTTTTATTTATATTTTTATATAAATTAATACTTTTAGGTAATCTCTCTCTCTCTCTCTCTCTCTCTCTCTCTCTCTATATATATATATATATATATATATATATATATATATATATATATATATATATATATATATCTATCTATCTATCTATCTATCTATCTATCTCATCCACGTTTAAGAACATAAAGAATGACTCGTACTCCCCTCCTTTCTCTATCGAATCGGATCCTTCGGTCATCACCATATCCACCAACAATCACCAATTATGCCGAGAAAAATCAAGCCTTCACACAATCACCAAGATATTAATCTTCAACCCACCATGAATGATCACTGCCATCAAGAACCCATAATCCCCATATGCCTTGTTCTTCCATTTATCTTCTGAATAAACTACAACTCAAAAAAAATATTGAGAATGAAGAATGTTGAAGAATGAGGGGTTGTAATTGAATAGAGAAGTGTCATTTGCGATCAAACAAAAAAAAAGAAAAAAAATAAGGGCTCGATTTATTCATCCTCTTGAATATGACCAATAATCAAGTTCGAAGAAGGAAAGAAGGAGATGTGGGCGACATTAATGGAGGTGATTGGAGGATCGTTGACTTTAGATCTTCTGTAAGTTGATGATGACAGAGGCAGATCTGGAAATAGACACGCACACTTAGGTGTGGATTGGGGAAAAAATCATCAAAGTCAATTTCATCTTCTCTCAGCCTTGGAATCTGGATCTTGTTGTTTGTTTTGGTTCGAGTTTCACATACAAAAACGATTTAGGTTGTGGTGGAGGGAAGTTCATCGGATCCGAAAAAAAATGATTTTTGGGTTCGAGTTTCATACATAAAAATCAATTCAAGTGGTGGTGAAGATGCAAACATGTTTGATACCCCACTTCTCTGCTATCGAATCATTAGTCATCTATAGATCCAAACTCCAATCTGGTTCCTGATCTTGTTCCCACTTCTTCCTTCCTTAGATTTCATCGGAGCCATCACTTTGATTTTATGGAAACTGGTTTGAGTTTTGTTATAGATTTTGGTTTATTTTAGTTTGTTTTACTCTCTATTACCCCTTCCAGCCTGTCTCTGAACCGATAGTTAGTGGGAAGAATTTGGAGTTCATCTTTACAATTTAGACATCAGTCGGTGAGGTGATGGTCCAGGAGAATGACGTCTAGGAGAGAGAGAGATAGAGAGAGAGAGGTGGGTGATATATTTTTTAATCAAAATAATAAGAAATTAAATAAAAGAAATTAAAAATCAAATAATGAAGGGCATATTTGTCCTTTCATGTGGGGTTTGAACCAAAACCACACAAAAAGATCAACAATATACACCAAAACTACACAAAATATCCAAAATTGGATCACCGATGCATCACCAAATCTTTTTGGTCAAAAACCATATAATTTTGACAAACTTAGGAACCATTTTTTCAATTTTGTCTTAACTATTACATATGAATATGTTCTTAGATTTTTTTTTTGTCATTTGTTTCATCTAAAGTGGTTCTTTTAGAATAATATTTATAAATGCGTTATTTTATATCCTTTTTTAAAACTAAAAAGGCTTCATTTTTTGTATTTCCTAAATGCAGATTAAGCATTTTATAACTTATAGGTAGTATGTACAAATGCATATATCATTTACAAAAATGTGTCCCTCTTAAAATGTTCAAGTCGTATACTCGTATTGTATTGTGGACAAAAAGTATAAATTTATAAATATAATTTGAAGGGATGTGTGACTTTGTTCTTATAAAATACCATATATTCCCTTTCGCAAAAACATAAACTATTGTCTTATTATATATTGTATTTGGAAAATGACTCTTGATGGTAACTAACTGTTGAGTTTGTTTTCATTTGGTCAATTTCCTTATTTTGTACTCAATATACCATTGAACTTGTTTGTGTTCACCATAACCCTTTTGACCAGCTTTTGACCTGCGATAGCCCGTTAAATGGTTATGGTGAACACAAACAACAAGTTCGATGGTATATTGAG